GGTGTTATTAATATGTTTCCCGACTTCTGGTCAAATAACAGATTGGCCGGGCGCGGTGGCTCAAGCCTGTAATCCCAGCACTTTGGGAGGCCGAGATGGGCGGATCACGAGGTCAGGAGATCGAGACCATCCTGGCTAACACGGTGAAACCCCGTCTCTACTAAAAAAAAAATACAAAAAACTAGCCAGGCGAGGTGGCGGGCGCCTGTAGTCGCAGCTACTCGGGAGGCTGAGGCAGGAGAATGGCGTAAGCCTGGGAGGCGGAGCTTACAGTGAGCTGAGATTCGGCCACTGCACTCCAGCCTGGGCAACAGAGCCAGACTCCGTCTCAAAAATAATAATAATAATAATAACAGATCGAACACATATGTTTAAGCCAGATACCTTGTAGAAATATCAATAAAATGAGAACAGAAGAGGGAAAACAGGTATATACTCGTAAAGTCAATCATTATAGGAGAGGAGACAATAGCAGATGAGAAATACCAATATATTTTTGGAATATTAAAATGAGATGAAACAGCTAGAGACTGAAAGGTGTCTTTGATTAGGTTCCCAGTGAAACAGACCCAGAGATGGAAATCTGATGCTGGAAGTTTACTGGACAGAGGTCTTTGGTACGACACCTGTGGGGGAGTGAAAGAAGCAGGACTGAGCAGAGATAGGTGGAGGTGAGATGGAGTCACAGCACAGTCACAGAAGACCTCATAGGAAGCCCCTTCAGAGTGGTCCCAAATTGAGGCAAGGGGTTCAGGCCCCGGGATAACTTTGGGTGTGGCAGTTCCCATCATCCATAGTCAATTCCTAGGAATGTCATCAGCCAACACTCCTAGCAGCTGGGAAATGAGACCTCCATCAAAAGGGGGCCATCTGAGTGGTACACCCCAACATTCTTAAAAGAGAATTCAAAGGAGAAGCAAGCCCATTCACACCACAGAACACTGGAAAGGCTCAGGAATTGGGGAAGCAGAAGCCTCTAAGGACAAAAGGAGACATGGGTCTGAAACAGGAACATTGAGAGGTACCCATCTCTCTCCAATCCTGCCAAGGGACCGAAGGTTTACTGTGGAGTAAACTTTAACCAGAGAGGTTTCAGACCCAAAACACCAGACGTAGCAAAGAGGTCCAGGGGAGGCAACTGAAAACAGAAAAGCAGTGGAAAAAGTCTTCCCAAAACAGGCAATTCCACGTTCCGAATGGGGAGACTTCAGCCGTTTTCCTGATCAGCTCAAAGAACCCAGCAGTCAGGCCTACAGAGCCTGGGCAGAAGACTGAAGAATCCTTCTCTAAGAAGACTGGCCAGTGGAGTAGAAAAGCCCTGATGATAACTGAGATTTGGGTATTCTCAAATGGAAAAACCCAGCCAGCCACTTTATCTCTGTAATGAAGATTAACCAGGCAACAAACCCCACCCATGGTCACATAGCTTTTAATCAGCTTCTCAATACCTCACTCTCAAATATAGTCAGAGGTCAATGATGATACTCATATACTTGAGGAAAAACTCAACGTGAAAGAGTGATCAAAACAGGTAGGTGTCAAAAAGAACTCAGAGGAAACAGACACAGGGCAGGAAGCAAAACAAACAAACAACAACAACAAAAACCCCACAACAATCTTCAATGTCCTCAAAGAGGTAACAAATGTTGTTACATTATTGAAATAAGAACTGGATGCTATAAAAAGGAACAGAATAGAAAGCTAGCAAATTATTTCTCATTCATTTAAGTCCAATCAGTAGGAAAAGACAGTAGAGTGGGGTAGGACACCACAAAGTTGTTAGGAGCTCCACTGACAAAGACCCTGCCATCTTTAACATGTAGCTTTCAAGAATCATTTCTGCTCACATTCCATCAGCTACAACTGACATAGTCTAGCTTTGTACTCAGGAAGAAGGATCTGTTTTGGTGAACACAGTAGCATCAACCACAAGAAGGGTTGGAGGATAAAATCAAGGAAATCTTGCAGCAGGCCTAGAAGTCAGCTAGTCAGATTGAAGCAGAAAGACGAAAAGCTTCAGGAGAGAATGTCTCTAGGAAAAAAAAAAATGAAACTGAAAGAATATCAGACCAAGCATGGTGGCTCACACCTGTAATCCCAGCACTTTGGGTGGCCCAGGTGGGAGGATTGCTTGAGCTCAGGAGTTTGAGACCAGCCTGGGCAACATGGCAAGACCCTGTCTCTACAAAAAATACAAAAATTAGCCAAGTAGTACCAGCTACTTGGCAGGCTGATCTCTTGAGCCCGGGAGGTAGAGGCTGAGATGAGCCATGATCGCACCACTGCACTCCAGCCTGGCTGACAGAGTGAGACCCTTTCTAAGGAAAAAAACAAGAATATCGGATGTTTAAAAAAGGAAGCTGATTCAGAGTTTTAAAAGGCTTTTGTGAGTGCAGAAAGAAATCATGACAGTCAATAAAAAATGAACAAAGGGAGGAAATTATTACTTACAGAAAGAACAACAGTAATAGAAGAAAATGTAATCACTTAACACTGATGAGACTAACAAGATGAAAACTAAATAGTAATTTAACAAAAAATTGTAAAATATCTATTATGGAAGGATGAAGCTGGGTGAGGGATAGGTAGTGAGAAAATAGTGCTAAATCCTCTTCTTCCACAAAGAAAGTCACGAGGGAACATATGAGAAGTATTGATCTGAGAAATAGCACGATAGCCCTATTGGTTAGAAATATGGAGATAAACACAATATAAAGTAGCAGAAAATGCTAAAGAGGAAGATAAAAGAGGTGGGAAGGAATAGGCAGGAGGCTTCTGTTGTTGCAGTTTGTAGATGTTGTAATATTATTTGACTTTTAATACTCTGAATATTGTATTACTTCAAAAATAATGGCATAAAACGTCTATGGATAGGACCATCTTCAGACATGACTGGATCCAAGAACTCATATGAAGTCATCGGGACTTGACCCTCTAGGCTTTGCTTTTGTAATATTGTGAAATATATTTTTGCTTATTGTCCTGTTTGCTGACATAAAGCTCCCCAAATCCTTGGAATCTCCTGAATGATGAGTGTCTTTTGTAAGTTAATGAGATGGCTGGTACCTGGGGCTCCCAGGTAGCCTCAGAATGGAGGCTGGTTGCCAGAGAAACCAGCCATGTGATTGGGGGGTGGAACTTTCTACCCCACACCTCCCAACCTCTGGAGAGTGGGGAGGGACTGAAGGTTGAGTTGATAAACCAGTGACCGATACTTTAATCACGATTGAATCATTATATGTAATGAAGCGTACATATAAACCCCAAAGGACTGAGTTCTGAGAACTTGCAGATAGCTGAACACCTGGAGGTACTTGGAGGGTAAGGCACCCAGAGAAGACATGAAAGCTCCAGGCTCTCTCCCACTTTCCTTGCCCTGTGCATCTCTTCACCTGGCTGTTCATCTGTATCCTTTATAATATCCTTTATAATAATAAATGGCTCAATGTAAGTAAAATGTTTCCCTGAGTTCTTTGCCACTTAGCAAATTAACGGAACCCAAGGAAGGGGTTGGGAAAACCCCAGTTTATAGCTGGTTGGTCAAAAACCCTAGTCACATCCTACGCTTGCAACTGGCATCTGAAGTAGGGGCAGTGTTATGGGACTGAGCCCTCAACTTGTGGGATCTCTTGCTATCTTCAGGAAGACAGTGTGAGAATAGAATAGAATTTGATTTGAAGACACTCGGCTTGTGTCCACCAGAGAATCATCTGCAGAATTGCTTGGTGTGTGGGGGAAGACCACCCCCACATCTGGTGTCTGAAGTATAATACTGAGTGACTGTGTGAGAGTAGAGGGTAGGAAAAACACTTTAGTTTGTCCTATATCCCTACAGCTTTCCTTGTTTTGGTTTTCTTCTCAATCAGGCCCTCTCATCGCAGCACAGCAGCTCTCGGCCTATGCGTTCTTAAAGCTATTAGTACTAGCAGAAAGGAATGTCGCATTCCTGATCGTTCCGACCAAAGTCCAAGGATTGAATTCTACAGTAGTTGACCAGGGTGGTGGGGGCGGGTCCAAGGGTTGAATTCTACAGTAGTTGACCGGGGTGGTGGGGGCGGGTCCAAGGGTTGAATTCTACAGTAGTTGACAGGGTGGTGGGGGCGGGTCCAAGGGTTTAATTCTACAGTAGTTGACCGGGGTGGTGGGGGCGGTGTTGCCCAGCATCCACAAAATAAAGGGCCTGAGAGTCAGGGATGAATGGCTACCTGGGGAGTGCTGACAGTAGAAGAAAAGGACCCAGAAAGCAGGCAGACAAAACTAACTGAGTCCATCACAAAAGTCAATGGGTGGAGCAGGCTGCAAAACATCAGGTCCCCATCCTGCTTAGACTCTGCTGGATTTAGAGGTTTATCTGCATCTCCATGACCTTCCAAGCAAACAAGATTATCTCAACACTCTCCATGTGACTCTTTAATGTGAACTGTTTTTTAAAAATATATATTGTTGGGATAAGTAGAAAATTGTGATTTGTAAAAGTGACCTTTGGAAATGTTCGTTAATTATGTGTATTTTTTCTTATGAATCATCTGTCTATGCTCTTTGCCTATACCATATTATTAATAAATATATTTATCAGGTATCTCAATACATTTAATAATTGTGCAAAGTCTAAAAATATTTCAACATCTAAAAAATATTTCATAGACTCTTGTACAGGTCTTTGGAGATTATCTAGTAGCGTGACTCTCATTTTACAGAAAATCAAACAGAAGAACCGAGAAGGGAAGTGTCAAGCCAGCTCAACGGATGAAGGAATAGAAAATCCAGTTGGATCCTCCACCAGTTAGATGGTGCTGCTTCTTCAATTACTTCTAAATTTGGTCCCCTCAAAGCCACATTTCCTACTCAATCGCCATATCCAGGAATTACAGAGAGCCACCTTCATTTTCCCACAGTCTGAAGCATTTTTTTAAAGACTCAGGGTAAATAGTGGAGAGGATTTTAAACTATCTTGAAGCCCCTTGTGATTTCACGCTGTATTTTTTTTTGGCGGGTGGGGGGGAATCTTTTTTATTTTTATACACATGACAAGATTTTACATCAAGAATAGTCAGTTAAATAGTACAAATTTACATACATGAGGAATGTTAAAAAAATTCAACTGAAAAACCTACTTCTTTCTGTGACCCCTAATCCCACATTTTAGGGGCATCCAAAACAAGTCTCTCCCAAAAGAAATGACTTAAATTTCACATTCCCTCTCCACAAAGGATCCAAACAGTGAGAGTATAATATACAATTCATCTTTTTCAGCTGTAGATTCCTTTGCTGTTTCTTGTTCTTCTTCATGTGTTCCTACATCCATTTCTTTGTCTTCATCTTGCTCTGTGTCTTCTATTGTGTCTTCAGGTTCTTCTTTGGGTTCTTCTTCCAACTTTGCATCAGGGTCAATGTTCAAACTTAGGGAAGCATTCTTTCTATTCTATCTCCATATGCTTTAGTGTCTGGTAAAAGATATCCTGACCGAAGCATTGCTGTTTCACACAAAACCACAGCAAGATCCAAGACTATTTTATCACCTTCACCTTTCCTTAATTCATCGAAGCATGTCTCTGATCAGCGGGTGTCTAGGATTAATTTCAAATGTTTTCTTCTGACTCGCATAGTAATTTGTAGAGCTGTCCTTGCTCGTTTGATATGCTTATGCTTTCATGATTCTGTCCATGTTGCCAGACAGTCCGTACTGACTGGCCACCAAAGCACACAGAGATTCTGTCAGGTGCTGAGACACCACAGCCTTCTTAATTTTGTCCTTAAGGGCTTTATCTTTCATCCAATTGAGCAGAGGCTCAAATTCTTTCTCAACTGCTTCACAACTCTCCTTAGTTTTCTCACTTTCATCAAACTTCACTCCTTCCTTGACAATATTCTGGAACCTCTTCCCATCAAATTTGGGAAGGGTCTGACTGCAGTATTCATCCACAGGTTCTGTGAGGTAAATAACTTCATAGCCCTTTTTCAGAAGTCGCTAAACATAGAGAAGATTCAGCCTCTTTTCTGCTGAACCCAGCCATGAAGTAGATTTTGTCTTGTTTTCTCTTCATTCTTTCCACATACTGGTCTAGGGTAGTAATGTCAGTTGGATGATGAGAAGACTGGAACATAAGAAGTTTAGCAAGACGTGTTTGATTGGAGTGGTCTTCAGTCACACCAAGCTTGATGTTGGTACCAAATTCTTTCCAAAAAGTATCATTGTATTTCTCATCAGCAATCTTCTTGATCATGTCCAGAGTTTTACAAACAAGCTTCTTCCTAATCACCTTAAGCAGTTTATGTTGTTGAAGAGTCTCAAGAGAAACATTCAAGGGGAGATCATCTGAGTTCATCACACCCTTGACAAAATTAAGGTACTTAGACATCATATCACGGAAGTTATCTGTGATGAATACACAGTGCACATAGAGCTTAATGTAATCACTCTTTTTAGATCCATGTTCGTCAAATAGACCACGTGGAGCAGATGTGGGTACAAGTAAAACTGACTTGAAGGTAACTTCCCCTTCAGCGGTAAAGTGAATATAAGCCATGGGGTCATCACTTTTCTTTGAAAACGATTTGTAAAAAGCTTTGTATTCATCTTCTATTTTTTTTTTTTTTTTTTTTTTACTTCTTTTGATGGTCTCTGCTGTATTGGTGTGATATCATTCATAAGTTCCCAGTCCTAGACAGTTTTTTCAACTTTTTAAATCTTTGGTTTCTTTTCTTCTTTTTCTTCCTCTACTGCAGCTTCATCATCAGATTCTTCTTTGTCTTCTTTTGCTACTTCTTCTTCCTCCATGTGCTCATCAACAGTTTCAGCCTTGCTCCAGCCGCACGGTCTGCCCAACTCAGGCTGTAATTTTAATTTCCCCATTAGCACCTTGCAAATCTCCACTCCAGATAGCACAGTATTCGGCTGCATTTTGCCATTTACATGACACAAGTTATAGCCAAAAAGGTTAGTGTAGTGTTGTATCCCTATTAAGGAGTAAGAACTAAATGTGGAGATCAAGCTGCAGAATTTTGTAGGAGGAGGGGTAGAAAGGGTGGAGCAACCATTTCAATGTTGGCCTCAGCGCCTCTTTGCTTTGAAATCCTGGATCCTCATAAAGTTTCTGACCACAGAAGAGACTGAAAATACCCTGATTGGGAGGAGGCATTCCGTGCTCCTCCCACCATTCCTACTCAGCATCAGTGATGCAGTGAGGGTGTGGGTCAGTATTAGTCTGTTTTCACACTGCTGGTAAAGACATACCCGAGACTGTGAAGAAAAAGAGAGTTTCGTCTGTTTGTTTGTTCATTTTTGAGACAGAGTCTCACTCTGTCTCCAGGCTGGTGATCTCGGCTCACTGCATCTTCTGCCTCCCAGGTTCAAGCAATTCTCCTGCCTCAGCCTCCTGAGTAGTTAGGATTATAGGCACCCACCACCACGCCCAGCTAAATTTTGTATTTTTAGTAGAGACGGGGTTTCACCATGTTGGCCAGAATGGTCTCGATCTCTTGACCTTGTGATCCACCCGCCTCGGCCTCCCAAAGTGCTAGGATTACAGGGGTGAGCCACTGCGCCTGGCCGAAAAGGGGGTTTTATTAGACTTACAGTTCCACATAGCTGAGGAGGCCTCAGAATCATGGCGGGAGGTGAAAGGCACTTCTTACAGGGCAGTGGCAAGAGAAAATGAGGAAGATGCCAAAGTGGAAACCCCTGATAAAACCATCAGATCTCATGAGACTGATTCACTACCAGGAGAACAGTAAGGAGGAAACTGCCCCCATAATTAAAATTATCTCCCACCATGTCCCTCCAACAACACATGGTAATTATGGGAGTACAATTCAAGATGAGATTTGGGTGGGGACACAGAGCCAAACCATCTCATTACACCCCTGGCCCCTCCAAATCTCATGACCTCACATTTCAAAACCAATCATGCTTTCCCAACAGTCCCCCAAAGTCTTAACCAATTCAACATTAACCCAAAAGTCCACAGTCCAAAGTCTCATCTGAGACAAGGCAAGACCCTTCCGCCTATGAGCCTGTAAAAAAATGGGGGAGTACAATTCAAGATGAGATTTGGGTGGGGACACATAGCCAAACCATATCAGGGTCCCAGCAGATGTGATTTGTAGAAGAGTAACTGGAGGGTTTAGAGTTTCAAAATGTCAACAGATCTTGAGAGAACGTGATTTTCCTTCACTGAGGAAATCTCTTTGTCCAGAGTAAACTTAAGCAATTGTGTTTCATTGACTCTAAGTTTCAAGACTAATCAAGTATCTCCTGTAGTGTGGAAGGCTGACTGCTGAACTCTGTATTTTTATCTGTTAACTGAGTGTTTCCTTTTTCCTTGACAGTGTGTACCCCTCAAGTGATTACAGGCCAGACAGTTGTCTCAATTAAGCTGCTGGCAAGACAGGAGTGGAATTATTTGAAGTGTTGTCAATAAAGAGGTTTAGCATTATTGAGAGATGGCTCTAGAGCTTCAATGAACAAAACTTCAATAATAACAGCAGGAGGGCAGTGTTAAAGCTAATAAAAATAGGTAGAGCACTTAGGATGCACCAGACATTTTATGAAAGCTTTGCAAGCATTATCTCACTTAATTTCCACAACAATCCATGAGGTAGGCACCATTATGCTCACTTCACAGATGAAGAGAATGAGGCTCAGAGTGGTAAAGTTGCTTGCCCAAAGTCATATGGTAAACTTCTTGGGACCAGAGCAAGCAATCTGACTCCAGGATCCTGGGATCCTAAGCTCTCTCTATACAAACTCCATGACTACTCTGGAGGTTGCAGCCTCTGCTCCTGAAATAGTAGCTGCTCAAAAAATATGAGCCAATTGAATGAATAGATGCTCTGTATTAGGCTGTTCTTGCAGTGCTATAAAGAAATACCCAGCTGGGCATGGTGGCTCAGGCCTGTAATTCCGGCACTTTGGGAGGCTGAGGTGGGCAGATCATGAGGTCAAGAGATCAAGATCATCCTGGCCAACATGGTGAAACCCCGTCTCTATTAAAAATACAAAAATTAGCTAGGCATGGTGGCACGTGCCTGTAGTCCCAGCTACTCAGGAGGCTGCTGAGGCAGGAGAATCACTTGAACCAGGGAGTCAGAAGTTGCAGTGAGCCGAGATGGTGCCACTGCACTCCAGCCTGGTGACAGAGTGAGACTCCATCTCAAACAAACAAACAAACAAACAACAACAACAACAAAACACCTGAGACTGGATAACTTATAGAGAAAAGAGGTTTAACTGGCTCACGACTCTGTATGCCTTACAGGAAGCATGGTGCTGGCATCTGCTCAGCTTCTGGGGAGAGTCTCTAGAAGGATGCAATCATGGAGGAAGGCGAAGGGGAGGCAGGCACATCACATGGCCAGAGCAGGAGCAAGAGAGTGAGGTGCCACACACTTTTAAACAGCCAGATCTCATGAGAAGTCTCTCACTATTTCAAGGACAGCACCAAGGGGCTGGTGCTAAACTATTCATAAGAAATCGACTCCCAGGATCCAATCACCTCCCACCAGGTCCCACCTCCAATACTGGGGATTACAATCCAACATGAGATTTGGGTGGAGATAAACATACAAACGGTATCATGCTCCATGGTGCTGAGGCCTGGGTCAGAGTCAGGTGGCTGCGTGTTCTGCAAGCCTGAAGGGAGACCTGAGAGCTACATTAAGACGGCCTTTCAAACTTCTCAGAGCTTTGTTTGAATTTAGAACCTTTTGAATAATTGTCACAGTAATGCCTCATCTTTGTTTTAGCAGTATTTAAGAGGCCGAGGCAGGCGGATCACAAGGTCAGGAGTTCGAGAACAGCCTGGCCAATATGGTGAAACCCCGTCTCTACTAAAAATACAAAAATAATTAGCCAGGCATGGTGGTGCACACCTGTAATTCCAGCTACTCAGGAGGCTGAGGCAGGAGAATTGCTTGAACCTGGGAGGCAGAGGTTGCAGTGGACTGAGATCATGCCACTGCACTCCAGCCTGGGTGACAGAGGGAGACTCCATCTCAAAAAAAATAGTGGTAATTATTATGTTTACCACTGTTACTTTTTAAGACGGGAAAAATGGTAATTCCTGAATATGCAGTGAAAGGGGTTGGTTAAATAAATTATGAAAATACATATGACAGAATACTTAGCCATTAAAAATCCAGTTGTATAAGAATACCACAGGACATAAAAACACATTTTTGATATATTATCCAGGGGAAAAGGCAGGTTACAAAACAGAGTATTGCCAGGCACAGTGGCTCACGCCTGTAATCCCAGCACTTTGGGAGGCCGAGATGCGGATCACCTGAGGCTGGGAGTTCGAGACCAGACTGACCAACATGGAGAAACCACGTCTCTACTGAAAAAATACAAAATTAGCCAGGCATGGTGGCGCATGCCTGTAATCCTAGCTACTTAGAGGCTGAAGCAGGAGAATTGCTTGAACCCGGGAGGCGGATGTTGCAGTGAACTGAGATTGCGCCACTGCACTCCAGCCTGGGCAACAAGAGCGAAACTCCATCTCAAAAATAAAAAATAAATAAATAAATAAAAATAGAGTATTTTCCCAATAACGTACATACATTTATGCATACAAAAATATCTGGAAGAAGATACATTAATACATTAACCATAGTTATTTCCATGTGGTAAGAGTGTAGGTAGTTTTAATTTTCTTGTTTGTGATTAAATTTTTTTTCAAATTTTCTACAATAACTATATATACATTTTCTAATCAGAAAAAACACTAGTGTGATTTTTCTCTTTTTTCTTGAGACAGAGTTTCACTCTTGTTGCCCAGGTTGGAGTGCAATGGTGCAATTTCGGCTCACCTCAACCTCCGCCTCCCGGATCAAGTGATTCTCCTGCCTCAGCCTCCCGAGTAGCTGGGATTACAGGCATGCACCACCATGCCCGGGTAATTTTGTGTTTTTAGTGGAGACAGGGTTTCTCCATGTTGGTCAGGCTGGTCTCGAACTCCCGACCTTAGGTGATCTGCCCATCTTGACCTCCCAAAGTGCTGGGATTACAGGCATGAGCCACTGCGCCTGGCCTTATATTGTGATTTTTAAAAGGGGTGATAATCAAATTTTGATCTTCAGTTTAAAATTAAGATATGTGTCTAGACACAGTGGCTCATGCCTATAATCCCAGCACTTGGGGAGGCTGAGGCAGGAGGATCACCTGAGATCAGGAGTTTGAGATCAGCCTGGCCAACGTGGTAAAACCCCGTCTGTACTAAAAATACAAAAATTAGCTGGACATGGTGGTGCACGCCTATAATCCCAGCTACTTGGAAGGCTGAGGCAGGTGAATTGCTTAAACCCGGGAGGTGGAGGCTGTTGTGAGCTGAGTTCAGGCCACTGCACCACAGCCTGGGTGACAGAGACTTGGTCTCAAAAAAAAAAAAAAAAAAAAAAAATTAAATTAAATTAAGATACGAAGTTGCAACTTAGTAAAAGACACAATATAACTAGTAAAAACATGACTAGCCAAAACATAAAGTTAAAAAAAATTACAATACAGGAAAGAGAGAGTTTTCCTAGTCCAACGCTCAAATCCCTTTCTGTGCTGACCCTTATCATCACTATGTCACCCTAACATAAGCCATGTTATGAATCTTCAATTCTTACCTTCTTCTCCCTCACTCCTCCTCCCTCAACCTCCTCATACACTTCCCCTCAAGGGCCACTTCACTGCCATCCCCAGGCCTGGCTTTAAGGGCTGACCTCCACGCAGAAGAGGCCTGATTCCACAGCAGCCCACACCAGCCCTGACCTCTCAGAACTCTGAGGTCCTGGGAAAGGGAGCCTGACTCCGACCCTCCTTGAGAGAAGGAAGTGGCAGTGAGATGCCCTCACCAGGCCTGCTCCCAGCCTGCCTTATCCCTGGTACAGAGGCTGGGGTTTCCTGCCCGGAAGCACTAGGCCTGAACACAATGGGGGTTATCAGTCACCATCGGGGGATTAGGACCACAGGAGCCCTCCACTTAATGGTCAGGTTTCCAGGCCTTTCCTGCATGAATCTTTACTTCCGTGGAAGCTCTTGTTTTGGTCTTTTCCAAGACGGAAGCCCTTCCCCCCGCTTCCCACCCCTCTTTCACCCTGGGTCAGTACCCTTTCACTTCCCAGCCTTTTCTCCTTTGGGTCTAAGTCAACTTAAATTGATAATAATAAGAGCCTGGGTAAGGAAAGTGTTTCTGCTCTTTCTAGACATTTTTTTTTCTTTTTAAATTATAGGTAAAATAGATGCATTAATTTAATTGGCTTCTATGATGAGATGAATAATTTCATCAACTGAACAAATTAACAAATGATACCTGAATTGAGATTTAAGTTCTTAATCTGATAGTTGGCTTATTTAGCAGCCCTTAATAGAGGGTCTTTCCATATTAAAAAGTAGAGATATTAATAATTAATTTATAAGAAAAAGTTTTTTAAAAAGCGTAACTTATCATGTTGTAAACTTTAATAATAAAAATGGCAGAGTTGCTTTTAAAACCTATCTTGGAAAATAAGAACTAGCACTTACTGAATGCTTATATGTATCAAGTAGCTTACTCATATTAGCTCATTCAGCCCGAAGGATCACTTATTTTATGAATGACAAAACTGGCCCCCTGAGAGGTTGAATAACTCACTGAGATCACCGGGTATGTGAATGTCAGGGCTGAGTTTTGAACCCAGCCTGTGTAACCTCAAAGTCTTTAGACCTTACATTATACTACTGCCTCTCAAAGTAGCAGAAACCACTTACATCTACCAACATTTCCCAGTATTAGTGTAGGTATTAGACATGAGTTTACATTTGAAAGCTTGTCTCCCTCCCTCACTAATTCCAAGCACAACTTCTCAAAACTCACCACCATTACCCAAGGACTTGAGCAGCTGTAAGCTCAGAAAAGATGAAAAGATAATGGTGTTGGTTTTCACGACCCCCATTAATTCAAAAGAAAAACTACACTAAGCCACAAAGAAAGTGTTAACAAGGTAAACAAAGGTATGATTTTTCTAATGCATGTATCTGCATATGTGATGATATATAGGATATAATACAAGATAGTTTTCAAACAATTTTGAGGGTATCCCTGCCTTCCAGGACCTTAAGCGCATGCTTATCTGCCTATTGGGTAATTGAGTATTGCCAACTCCCACTTCCCGAATTGGATGTGGGAAAAGAGAAAGCAAGGAAAAGGAAAAGAAGGGACCAGGAGTGGTGGCATATGCCTGTAGTCCTAGCTACTCAGGAGGCTGAGGTGGGAGGATCCCTTGAGGCCAGGAGTTCAAGGCTGCAGTGAGCTGTGATCACACCACCGTACTCCAGCCTGGGCAACAGAGCGAGATCCCGTCTCTATTTAAAAAAAAAAAAAAAAAAAAAAAGAGGGGGAAAGAAGGAAGAAAAGGACATCTACTCAGAAGTGGAGGTGGTGATGGTAGGGATTAACACTTGTGAACTCCTGCAGGCTTCACGTTGACCTTTCCTGCAGGAGGGTGAGATCCTGAAGGGAAAGAGCTCCTGATTGAGGGTAAAGGGCATCCAGGGTCTGGGGGCACAGCCCTGCCTCCTAGTGATAGGCCTGCTCTGACTCAGCCCGGGAGGGCAGCCAGACCTGCACCTCCCTGTTCCCACTGATTCCACTGGGACCCATTGCAGAATGACTCATATGAGCTCTGCTGCCCTGCGAAGCCTAAGGGATGTCAGTGCCTGCTCTGGGCAAACACCCCAACAGTCAATTTAAGTTATTTAGTTAATTTTTATGACATCCAGTCAGGCTGCCTGAGGGGTAAACCTCTGAGATCATGATGACACATGTGGCTGTGGCTCCTGGGATCTCTGCAGTTTCTGTGGTTTCCATGGGTCTTCCGTCCCACGTAGGGCCACTGGCTGTGCTTTGAGGAACGCCATGCAGAACGTGGTCCATGTGAGAACATGTGAGGGAGGACGGCAGGCACTTTTCAGGGAAGGATGGAGGCTGTGCAGTCAGAGGAGCCACCTTGCCACGCCCCTTGGGTGAGGTGACCTCATGCAGTGGATGCCTCTGTGGCCTCCATATGAAAGACGCAACTGTGGGTTCCTTTGGGGTGCTGGGAGAGCCATTTACCTTGGGGGAGCTTGGAGGTTTTCCAGAAGAATCCAAATGTATCTACTAAGAGCACTGAAATTTCCTGGAGGGTTCTGATGTTGGTTGGGGAGTCTTCTTCCCATGCTTTGGATAATCTGTTCAGGGGTTTGTGAAGTTTGTGGCCTAGAAGCCCTGGGGTGATTCTCTGTGTATTGGGAAGGTACTGCTATTCAGCGAGCCCTCAAAGGTCTTATAACCTGGACAAGGGAAAGAACCATGATGAGGAAATTTGGCTTTCTCTGCTGGGACTGCTCCAAGAGCCAGAAGCAGAAAGGTGGGGTGGGATGCTTAACGGTATTGACTCACTCAGGCCTAAGGCCCAAGGGTGGCTGGGAAGTGAGATCTGTGGAAGGGGCTTTTTCACAGTTACTGACACCACCAAAACTCATGCTTTCCTCCTTTATTGCAACCAGTCCTGTCTCCTAGCACCCCTTTGGGAGGCAGCCCAACACCAACTTCCCCTACCTGGGGTGAGAGTAGGGCATATCCTCTCTGGGTCAGCAGACTCAGTCCAGCTACCATCTCAAAGTTCAACCCATCCATCATTCAATACTAGGCCAAGTTCTTCCTGCTGAGAAGGAAGTCACCTTTGCTGCATCCTATGGCCTCCCTGCTGGAATGCCCACTTGCTCTAGGCAGCAAGTACAGGTTGCTGTTTCTGACAATCAGTTATTGAGTTCTTTGGTTCCTTGTTCCCAGATCTCAATTCAGTAAGTTTCCAGATGTGACTTACAATATAACAGGAAAAAATGGCTTGGAAGACAAAGGAGGTCCATTCTCTCTTCTCTAGGATAAAGGATGATTTTAAGGACAGGGCCTGGTCTTTAAAGATTCTTTGATTTAAGTAATATGTGCTTTGGGAATTCATAATCTTTTCAAGGGGCTTTTTCATTGCATTGAGGAAAGTACTATAGCTTCATTTGACAAATGAAGGCATTGAAAAACAGAGAGGTGAAGTTATTTCACATTCAAATAGGATATAAGGACTGAACTTGAAGTTCTTTGTAGTTTAAAGTTCTGTCCTACCACGTTCCTCTGGGAGGAAGCCTAGGGAATCTAAGGAGTCTTCAGTCATAAAAACGGGTGGCTTAGATGGATCAGTATCAGGCTGATGGTAACATGTATCAAAAGCATTGTGATTAGCCAGGTGTGGTGGGGCAAGCCTGTAGTCCCAGTTACTTGGGAGGTTGAGGCAGATGGATCACTTGAGCTCAGGAGTTCAAGTCTGCTGCAGTGAGCTATGATTATGCCATGGCACTCCAGCCTCAGTGACAGAGTGAAACCCTGTCTCTGAAAAAAATTAAAAATAAAAAAAGCATTATGAATGCTGTTGGATTCAGCATCTGCACTTCTAGATCTCTCCTGGGAAATTAATCAGAGGGCTGCAAAGATATTGTTAAATAAAGTTTATGGGAGGCCATTGGTTTGGACTCAGTTCCTGCAGTCAGCTGAACAGACCAGACCAAACCAGAATGGACTCACTTGTGACAGGTGCTTCATAATCAAGCTGTACTTAGAAACAGATCAGTTTTTCAGAAAACTAGAGATCACAGCAACCTATCCAAAAAGGCCTGGTCGGCTGGGCACAGTCACTCACACCTGTAATCCCAGCACTTTGGGAGGCTGACGTGGGCGGATCACTTGAGGCCAGGAGTTAGCCAACATAGCGAAACTCCGTCTTCACTAAAAAGACAAAAAATTAGCCTAGTGTGGTGGTGCATGCCTGTCGTCCCAGCTACTTGGGAGGCTGAGGCATGAGAATTGTTTGAATCCAGGAGGTAGAAGTTGCAGTGAGCCATGGTACTGCCGCTGCACTCCAGCCTGGGCCACAGAGCAAGGCTCTGTCTCAATCAACAATAACAATAACAACAACAAAACCCAAAAAAGCCTAGACAAACTGAATCGGCATAAGGAAGCCCTCTCTACTTTAGCCATATAAGGAAAGTAAACCAAAGTAACCTGATGTTAACCAATCCACTTTTTGCACTGTGCTGTTTCTTTGTTCCTGCTCAAGCTACCTTATAAAAACCAGCTGTTCTGTCATGTCCAGGAGAACACCTTTCTATTCTGCACATGAAATGCTGCCTGATTCACAAATCACTAATAAAGCCAATTAGATCTTTAAACTCAGTTTTTTGTAATTTTTTCCTTGACAATATATAGGTAATGACACTCATTGAAAGTAAGGGAGGAGACCACCCCTCATATTGTCTTATGCCCAATTTCTGCCTCCAAAGAAAGAAGAAGTAAAACTAAAAGGCAGAAATGAAATCCACAGGCAGACGGCCCGGTGCCGCACCCTGGGCCTGGTAGTTAAAGATCGACCCTGAACTAATGGGTTATGTTATCTATAGATTACAGACATTGTATAGAAATGCACTGTGAAAATCCCTATCTTGTTTTGTTCCGATCTCATTACCGGTGCATGCAGCCCCCAGTGACGTACTCAATCAATCATGACCCTTTCACACACAGCCCTTTAGAATTGTGAGCCCTTAAGAGGGACAGGAATTGCCCATTAGGGGAGCTCGGCTATTGAGACAGAAGTCTTGCCGATGCCCCAGGCCGAATAAACCCCTTCCTTCTTTAACTCGGTGTCTGAGGAGTTTTGTCTGTGGCTTGTCCTGCTACAATAGGACTGCTTCTAATGACAAAAACTTATAAATAGCCTAAACATTGAACAATAGGGAATACATAATTGGGTTCTCCATTATGTACTATTGAAAATGATGTTATAGAAGAGTATTTATTGTTAAGAAACAATGTATTTTTAAATGAATAAAGAGAGCTTCAAAACAGTATGTGTAGTATAATCTCATTTTTAATTTAAAAAGTATCCATCACAGAAAAATACTAGAGTGATATTATTTCTGAATAGTTTTACTTTTTTCTTAATGTTTTATAAATTATCTGCATTGAATATGCATGCCTTTTTACTAAAAACAACACTAATGTTTTTTAAAACAATACTGAAGAGGGTAACTGAGAGAAAACATTCTCTACAATGCTCAAAAGAAGGCAATGAAGGTTATGAGTACAGGGAGAGAGTGGTAGGAGTATGGGCACTTAGCAATCTTACCCAACAGCCTTAGCAGGGACCTCAGGTTGAAATAGGATATAAGAACTGAACTTGAAGTTCTTATTTCTTTCATCTTGAGCCTCGATCCTTCTTCAGCTGCCCATCACCCAGCCTTGCAGAGAGGACACAAACTCCTGTTAAGGCTTCTCTCTGGGATTTAATAAGAATAGCTTATGTTAAGTACTACTTACAGGTTCCATACATTACCTTCTATGACTCTCATAACAGGAAGTAGTAATAATAATAATAACAGCTGAAAATAGTCACTGGTTTATGTTTACCAGGTGCTATGCTAAGCATTTAAAATCTATTAACTCTTTTTTTTTTTGAGACAAAGTTTCGCACTTCTTGCCCAGGCTGGAATGCAGTGACGTGATCTTGACTGACTGCAACCTCTGCCTCCTGGGTTCAAGTGATTGTCCTGCCTCAGCCTCCTGGGTAGCTGGAATTACAGGCTCTCGCCACCACTTCCAGCTAATTTTTTGTATTTTCAGTAGAGACGGGGTTTTACCATGTTGGCCAGGCTGGTTTTGAACTCCTGGCCTCAAGCTATCCACCCGTCTTGGCCTCCCAAGTGCTAGGATTACAGGTGTGAGCCACCGTGCCCAGCCCTATTAACTTATCTTTATTTCTCTTTCATTTAAGTCTCTCTCCCACACTTCCCAATTGACCTGTCCATAAATCCTGTTGGTTTCTCATTCGAAATATATACAGATGCTACTCCTTCCTAATCACCTCCTCCACTAGCACCCTAAGCCACCTTCCTGTCCCACTGAGGCAGTCTCCCATTGGTCTTCCTGATGATGCAGTCCTGCAGTCTGTTTTCAACAGAGCAGTCGTAGGTATTTACATGTAAATCAGACCAATGTGCTAATCTGCTCAAAATCCTTTGGCTCTTCCTGCTCAGAGAAAAAAGCCAGGTTTCTTACAACAATCTATAGTAAGGCTCTATGTGATCTGGTCCAGTCTTCCCCTGTACCTCCTCCGACCCCCATCCAACACACCTTACACCCCATCATCTTTTCTCTCCCCTCTCTGTCACTCAGCTGTCACGACCTGGCTTGCTTACTGGTTCTAGAACACCCAGAGGCAGACTGCTGCCTCAAGGCCTTTTTCTACCAGGAGCCCTTTACCCCCAGATTAACCACAGGACTTGCTCCCTTAGTACTTCCCTAAAATGTCACCTTCTCAGTGAAGCCTTTCCCGATCAACTTAAAATGGAATATTCCATCCATCACCCTATTCACCTTCTCCCCATTCCTCATATATATATATATTTTTTTTTTTGAAATTTACATATATTTGTATATATTTTTTTCTGTAACACAAATTCTCACCTAACACGTGTGTCATTTGATTGTCTCCTCTTACTGGAATGTTAGTGTCACAAGGGCTGGATTACGTTCTTTGCTCTATCCCCTATACTAGAATAGTGCTTGTACCTAGAGAGCACTCAACAAATATTTTTGTTGAATAAATGAATGAAGGAATCAATAATTTCTTCATAATAACCTTTTGAAATAAGGCATTATCTGAATTTTACAGTTTAATAAACTAAGAGTCAAGAGGTTAAAAATTAACCATATTATTTTAATTAATTTTGTATCCAACATAAATCCCTGCAATTGCATTTTTAACAGTTTTATTGAGATATAATTCACATACCATACAATTTATCCATACAATTCAATGGTTTTTAGTATATTCACAGTTGTGTAACCGTCACCACAATCTAATTTTAAAACTGTATTATCACCCCCTAAAGAAACTCTGTTCCCATCAGCAGTTGCTCCCCTCCTTCTTCCCAATCCGCCAGCCCTGGTTTAGACACTGAACTACTTTCTCTCTCTATAGATTTGCTTATTCTAGACATTTCACAGAAACAGAATCGTACAATGTGTCTTTTGTGACTTCCTTCTTTCACTTAGCATAATGTTCAAGGTTCATTCATGCTGTAGTATGTATTAAAACTTCATTTCTTTTCATGGCTATATGATATTCCATTGTGTGGCTATATGACGTTTTATCCATTCATCAGTTTGTAGACATTTGGTTTTGCCTATTATTAATAATGCTTTTTATAAGCATTCATGTACAAGTTGTTGTGTGGATGTATGGTTTCACTTCTTTTGGGTACATACCTAGAACTGAAATTGCTGGGTCATATGGTAAGTCTGTATTTGGCCTTCATGAGGAACTTCTAGATTGTTTTTCAAATTAGCTATACCAGTTTACATTTCCACCAGCAGTGTAGGAGAGTTCCAATTTGTCTGTGTTCTCACCAACACTTGTTATTACTTTAAAAAAACATTTTTAGCCATCTTAATGGGCCTAAAGTAATATCTCATTGTGGTTTTTATTTACATTTACCTAATAACTAATAATATGAAACATCTTTTCATATGCTAATTGGTTGTTTATAGATCTTTGGAGAAAATATTCTGAGCTTTTACCCTGTTTTATG